CTAAGGCCAAAACGACGCGTACATCTTTCAGACCTATAGGATCGAATTCAACTTTTATGTGTCTTTTCATCTTGAATACTTTTTTTAAAGGTACATTTGCGTGTAAAGGTTTTGAAAAAAAATTAATAATTTATTATTTTTCACCTCCTCTTATGTTGGATCGGCAGCCTGATGAATTGAAAATAAATTAAATATGTATGGAGTACGTAATTATTATGTAACAGTGATCTTATTTATCAGTAAATCAGAGAAATTCAAAAGAATTGTTTTATTATTAAACCATTATTATATTATATAATTACATGGAAAAGTATTTTTAGGATATATTTATTACTTTAATTGGATCATTAGTTCCAAACAAAGGAAATAATACATCCTTTCATAATTTCCGGATCAATTCTTCGTGCTTTACAATATCATTTGTATTCAACAACGGCCTCCTGAATTTTTATATTTAACATAGATAAATCGTAACAACTACAATCTGTTTTCGATCAATTGGTGTCTCCTTCATCGACGACGTCCGAAAATCCACGATTTACAAGAACGTCATAATAATTTGTGACGTAATTTCGCAGGTGCTTGCTTCAGTTACAGCATCTTGATTTTGAAAATTGTCGGATGGTTTTTAGTAATTGATTTTGATCAAATCGTTTGCAGCATAAAAAAAAATATATTTTTTTCTTTATTTAATTAAATGGGAGGTTTGCTATTAAAATCAAGTTACGAACATAGTAAATCATATGATCAGTAAACGTGATTTTAATAGCAAACCTCCCAAATATCTTTTTTTTTTTCCTTTTAATCAAGATGAAACAAATTTACTTTGGAAAATAATTAGTCACTTCTCATTGTTGATTAAACTTTACCATGTTGGCGTAATAATTATGCAAATACATGAGAAGATTATATTTAACATTTAATCATGCACATACATAAGAAAATTATATTTTAACTTTTATAATTGACATCCCTTTTGGCTATTCAACGCATGGGTGGATTTTGTAATCAGGGCCAAACCAAGTCTTTACCGCTTCCGAGAGAATATAACTGGAGGATTTTATATTGAAATAATAAAGAAGCGATCAAGAGGATGCTACGTAACAAATTGGCGTCTTCAGCAGGATAACGATCCTAAGCATACGAGCCACATAGTTAAGGAATTCCTGCAAAAAAAAAGTTCCAAATGTTACGGACTGGCCATCTAACAGGCCCCGTAGAAAATTTAATTAAAAGAAACGTTAAGATGCGGTAGTCACAAAATATTGGGGATTTGGAAAATTTTATGAAGGAAGAATGGTCAAAATTTCCACATTTGGTTAAATGAAGGAGAGATGTAAGCTTATAAATGAGAAAATGGGAACGCATACCCTATTAAAATTTTTTTTTTTTTTAATTAATCACCTACTTTTTGGCTTTCGAATGAATATTTTTATCTTGTGATTTGGCGCAGTCGTTATGAAGTTATGTTTAAAAAATATTTGTCCAAAGACTTTTGCACCAGACTGTACACATACTTATTAAGGAAAACGAAAAGATAATATATATTATTATATACCGAAAAATTAGTAATAAAAATAATTCAGGTATGATACACTTCTTCGCAAGAATCTCAAAATGATGGTAAATAAAGCATGACTTTTTACTTTTCAATTCCACTTAAAAAGTTGACTTTTAAATAATAAAATTAAAATTTATTTGTGTATACTGTACAAAATAGCTAAATAATATTAAATATTTAATACAAACTTATAATAGTCGGGATATATAAATCCAGAAAAATATAAAAAATAAACCAAATTTGATATACTTATAATTATCTTCATCTTTTCGTTTATTAATTTTTGAAAGTTCTTCAAATCTATTTTGAGCTTTCTGAAAGCCAGTTTCCGCCGATTTTTTATACCAATAAATTGCTTGATCGATATCTTTCCTAATCCCAATTCCATCTTCAAACATAATAGCAAGGTTATATTGAGCTGTATTGTCTCCTAAGCTAGCGGCTCTTTGATATAAATTAAAAGCTTTGTGTTCATCAGTGTAAGTTCCAATCCCATTCCTATAAAAATATCCCAACATTGATATTCCGTTTAAATAATCTCCTTTAGCTGATTGGTCGAATAATTTAAAAGCTTTTTTATAATCTTTTTCAACACCGACACCATTTTTATAACAAAGGCCAAGGTTATAATTGGCGATCATATTTCCATTATTTGCAGCCTTCTCATACCAAAAAATTGCCAATTTCGGATCTTTTTCGACTCCTATGCCATACTCATATAAGTAACCAATGTTTAACTGTGCCGCCGCAAAATCCTTATTGGCGACCTTTTCAAAATATCTAAATGCCAAATCTTGATTCTCGATCGTTCCATATCCATTTTGATAACATATTCCAACATAATATAACGCCAAGATATGATTCTTTTTTGAAGCATCAATGAATAATTCGAACGCCTTCACCTTATCTTCACTCGTTTCAATTCCAAAATAATTAAAATATCCCATTAAAAAAATCATAGTTGAATTGTTCTGATTTTTTAATAGCCAAGTATAAATTTCTTTCAGAGCAATATTGTAAATGCTAATATAATCAATAACGTGTTGCCTCCTGATTTTTGGTTCCTTTCCATCATTTGTCATCTTGAAAATAAGAGTTACCATTCTATCAACTATCATGTTTAGCTCGTCTTCAGGCTTGTATTGAATATCTATGACAAAATCATCCGTTTGATAATTATTTATTGTTTTGTATGACTTTGCAATAATTTCTTTCATCCTTGCAACTACTTGATTCATCGTTGGTCGATTTTCCGGTTCGCCATTCCAACAATCTAAAAAGCAACGTAAATCGATTATGATTTAAATTATAAAATCATATTTGTGAAAAAAAAAAAAAAAAAAGAAAAAATCATATTTACCATTGTAAAGATTAACATAAATAGTAGGTGTATCGGGGACGGGTTCCTCTCTAAAGCCCTGATAAATTTTCCAATGTAAATTAAAATCATCCATATCACAGAATGGCGGTCGTCCACTTGATAATTCCCATAAAAGCATCCCAACACTATATACGTCACTCTTTTCATTTAATGTATATATTTGCGTTGAAATGTTTTTTATTTGTTTGCTGAATAATTTTGGATCAATATAAGGAAATGCTCCACATAAAAATGTTTGTTGTTTAGACGATTCCTTGATTGAGTTCCTCTCCTTTGACACCCCAAAATCGGCCAATTTAATGGTATTTTGATGAATTAATACGCTATTTGAGTGCTAATTTGTTTAAACAAAATTTCAGTTAATCATAAAAAATCATTTTCATTGAGTCATTATTTAAAATATGTGTGATATTATTTACCAGATCTCGATGGACGATGCCTTCCTCGTGTAAACAAGAGACAGCACCAGCCAATTGATATGCAAAGTTGTATTTATCGTTCCAAGTAAGCTTCTTGAAATTTTTTTTCAGGTATTCACAAAGGGTACCGCCATCAGCATATTCCATCACCAGCAAATATTTCTTTTTATTTTCTATAGAATAAAAGTGCACATTTCATTTAAAACGCGCTCGAATAAATAAATAACCTTGTAAATAATTTGTACCTTGTTTAAACGTGGATATCCCATAGAAGCGAATGACATTGTTATGGAAATCCACTTCGCGTTGAAGCTTAATCTAAATAACAAATTAAAATGGTTTTAGGCTCAATTATATACAAAATCTGCTTGTTTCACGAATGTGAATTCACGTGACATCCTTTTTGACGTTTACCCCAAAATTTTCAAGGGGGTTAAACAATCAATCTTCATGTTCAACAGAAAATAATTACCTCATTAACGATCAATTTCGCGGTCACGTTGTTGAAATTATGAAAAGATTTTAACACAAAATACTTGTTCGAATTTTTCCAGTTCGCTCGATGAATTTTTCCATTTGTAACGGTACGAATCTCTTTAACATTACTGAAACGTTTAAATTCATAAGTTTTGATATGCTTTTCGGCGATTGCTTTCTCAATCCAACTAATCCAATCATTTGAATCGGTAGTATGGCGTATTTCACGGGATTTTTTTTCATCAAGATTAGACATGGTGAATAATAAGAAATTAATTTATATTCTCGAACGAAATTATTTTTTTTTTTTTTTTTTTTTTTTGAAAGAAAATAAAAAAAGAGTCTTTTTTTTTTTATATTTTCTTTGTTCCCAATCTGTAATGAAACCGCATCTCTTTTTATATATTTTATAACATTTCATCATGCATCAACATGTTGAAAATTCACCTAGATCTGCATTTAGCATAAAAGAAATAATAATGCGATATCGTAATATTCATTATATTTTTTAGGTTAATTAAACTTCATCTGGAGAAAAAAAAGTGAGAATGATGCATGAATTATTCACTTCATTTATGCTCATTAAGCTCATTAGTTGCATGCTTTTAATATGCTTTAATCTTAATCTGGAACTGGAGCGAACGATTCAAGAATCTGCAAACTTCGAGTCTAGAAATCGAACTAAGCCAATAACGTTCATGACGCAGATTGCTACGATCCTACAAATCTATGTAGGAGAATCGTTGATCTTGTTAAAACCTCCGTACTTGGAAAATCTAATGAATAATTTTCCCTTCAGATCATAATAATAGCATAGAGGTGCAAAGAGCGAATCATGTGCAAAATCGTGAGTTCAAGTCATACATACTGTATGTATCAAAAAAAAAAAAAAAAAAAAAAATCTTTTTAACACAAAAAATACTTGTGATTATTTACATGTGTGAACTACGGAAAATTGCCAACAGGCAGATGGTTTCACTGAATAGTAAAAACCATTTTTTCTTTGATAGACCTTAAATTGGAAAATTCAAGTTTTGCCCAAATATAATTAATAATACATATTTTTTTTTTTTAAGTCTGACAAAAGGCTTATTAAAGACAAAGTTAGATCATTGTCATCATACTTTCCAGGAAAGTAATTATTAATCTAATCGTTTATTAAAATTATAATCTAAATTAAATATAATATCTAAATAAACTAATGCATGTCTGCAAGAGTACATTTCCATGTACTATCGGGTGTTTGAAATTCACCAATATCTCTATACCAATCATTTTGATTAGATTGTCCTACACAATCGCCAACTGTTGTCACTTTATACCCCCTCTTTAAACCATCCTTAATTTCATAAAGTCCGAGGGTAGTGGAAGTGGTATCAACTCTATCATGATTTAACACGATATGAAGATTAGGTTGAGGTGACCTGTTCATTTCACTATCAAAGATTCTAATAGACTGTTGTAAATCCCCTTGCCAATCTAAAGTGTCAATATCCCACATAATCATCTTGTATCCTCGTTGTTTCAACACTTTACGTACTAATGCGTTGTGTTCTCCAAATGGTGGACGGGCGTATATCGGGATTGCGCCAATAATCTTTTTGAATGCTATTTCATTTTGTTCAAGTTGATAATTGATTTCGGCTTCTGATACTTGTGTTAAATGAGGGTGTGACCATGTGTGTGAAGCTATTTGATGTCCTTCTTTGTATGCTCGTTGTAAAATAGCGGCGTAATCATAAATGCAATGTTCTGGGAATGCATGTCCGTTCATGAAAAATGTGGCTTTTGCATTATTTGCTTTAAGGTCATCAAGCAATTTTGCGGTGACCTATTTAGGAGGTTAGAGGAAAAAAAAAAGAAAATTTTTTAATGTTTAAAGTTTTAATGTTTGATAAAAATTACTGCAACTTGTTTGCACAAATTTAACACTAACGTTTCGTGGACCGTCATCAAATGTTAGTGCGATGGTGTTTGATTTGGTACATTTATCAAACTGTTCAACTTCACCAGATCCTGGGGTTGGGGTTCCACAAGTTCCAAATGACGATTGACATCCAGTTGAACAGTAATCTACGTCGTAAAATAATAAAATATATCGAAATTTTATTTGATACAAAAGAATTCATTCATTTATAATAAAGATATTGATATTTACCGGAAGTAGAACCACAGAAATTATATTGAGAACAACACGATCCATCCGGACATCGAGTTCCAGCTGTTGCACCACATCTTCCATCTGTAGAGATTGGAAAACCACCAGTTGGTGGTGGTGTTGGTGTTGGGGTGGTTCCACAAGTTCCAAATGACGATTGACATCCAGTTGAACAGTATGCTACGTCGTAAAATAATAAATATATCGAAATTTTATTTGATACAAAAGAATTCATTCATTTATAATAAAGATATTAATATTTACCGGAAGAAGAACCACAGAAATTATATTGAGAACAACACAATCCATCCGGACATCGCTTTCCAGCTGTTGCACCACATTTTCCATCTGTAGAGACTTGTAAATCACGTGCTTTTAAAAGATTTCTAGGCGTAGGAATGGTTCCGGCATCGATGACATTTAAAATGCACAAGGTTATTACCAGTACAACTAAAAATCGAACTTTTAAACCCTTCATTTTGAATAATAGATTTGGTGATGAATGATGAGGTAAGTAGGTGATATAAAGAATGAGTTTGAATATATATATATATATATTTCTTATTTTCTCCCAAGGGGAGAAAGGTATTAATGAAGTGGGAGAAAAGATAAAAAGGATGTGGAATTGAAAATGTCATCTCTAATTCATATTATCATATTTATAAATTTTTTTTTGAATTGATAGATATTCCACGGGTTTACTAATTTGGAAATTTGTGATCCTTTTCTTAATATATACTGATTACAAATTCCTAAGGATTGACAATAAACAAATTTAAGTATTTAATAAATGTTGTGATTTCGTAAAGAACCAACGTATTCACACAATTACAGCCCAAGTTCTTGTAATCACATTTAATATAAATAAAGTGAACCAATTTACTCAAAATGTCAATGCATCAGGATTTATTTTTAAATTTAGGGATGTTCCTAAATCTAAATTATGTCATAAAATTTACTCTAATAAAGGTGTTCGCTTGTTCGCTTCAATTGGAATTATTCTATTAACGGATATTGCACACTCCTCTAAGTGCCACGCACCATGTGTCTAATATATAAACCCTTCTCTAATATTTTAGTTTCGGTTAATTAAAGATCCGATCTTCAAATTGAAAATCGGTTTCATTTAAAAAACAATTTTCTGCATCAGAAAAAACCCCTTCTCTGATCTGACTTATTTTAGGATCGATCCGTTCTAAAAAAATAAATCATACTTATGCTTTTAAAGAATAATATACAAATTGCTATTGTAAAAATGTTTTAAACCATTTTTATACGTAAAAAAAAATTTTGATTTTCAAAGATGCATAGCAATTTAAAATGTCAAAATTTCTCAACCTTTTAACATTTTTAAATTGCTCAATAAAAAATTTTCTTTTTAAATAAAAAATGTAAAATGTTCTCACCTTAATAATTTTTTTGATACTCGTACGCTTATATTGTTTTACCATCGATATACATATACTTTGTAAAAATGAGTTTATTATATTGATCCAAAGAAAAAACAATTCTTCTAAGGGAACCTCATTTTAAAATCTTCCCATGAATTTTCCCATAAACAGATTAGATCATGCGAATTGCATAGGATTAAATTTTTTGACGTGTAAAAATTTTTAATAAAAGTGGGCGTTATATTTTTTTTTTTAATTCCGAAAAACCCCTCCGGAATTCTTCAGTTTCTGAATTCTTCAATATTTTATTTCTCTGAAGAAAAAAAATTTTTTTTATTCGAAACCATATTTTTTTTTTTTTTTGTATTACACAACTACCAAAAATTCGTTGACGTTCTCGTTAAACGATACACAAAACAGTTTCATCAAATTTCAAGATTTTTCTTTTTCTTATTAGTTAATCAATCATGATACAACAACCTCCAGTTGAAGAGGAAGGCTTTTATTTGAGTTGGGCTTTACTAATCCAGACCTCCCTTTTAATATTATCGTTATGTTCTTCTTACTACTTACAACACAAACAAATCCGTGCAATACACGAAACTGTGATTTCCATTTTTGCAGGAATGATTGTTGGACTGGTGATTCGTATGTCGCCAGGGTCAATAATTCAAGATATGGTTACTTTTAATTACTCGTATTTTTTTAATTTATTACTCCCCCCCATTATTTTAAATAGTGGTTATGAAATGAAAAAGGTATGCCAAACGTCTTTTGATGCGGTTAATATTTTTTACGGTACTTATTAATTGTTCTCTTCTTGTCTTGTTCATTTATTAGGAAAATTTTTTCAGGAATCTTGGAACTATTCTTACATTTGCGTTTTTGGGCACTTTTATTTCAGCTGTTGTCATAGGGTAATCATTAGATCGTCTTTATTTAAAACATTTTTTTTTAATTCATCGACTAACAAATCATTATTTTCTTATAAAGAGTTTTAGTTGGAATATTATCGGCTATAGGAGTAGGCTCACTGTCACTTTCATTTTTAGATTCAATGATTTTTGGATCCGTTTTATCAGCAACTGATCCGGTAACTGTACTTACCATATTCCAAGCGCTTAAAGTTGATCCTAAACTTTATTCTATAATCTTTGGAGAAAGTATCTTGAATGATGCTGTTTCCATTGTACTTTACGAGTTGCGTATTAACAAGTTGTAAAAATTAAAAAAAAAAAGTTTTATTAATAATTTGAGTTAATCGTATTTTCTTTCTCTTTACGATGCCAGAACACTTAAACAGTATCGAGGTCAAGAATTTCATTTAACGAACATATCTCACGGAATATTTTCATTTTTTCTTAACTTTGGAGCTTCATTAATAATCGGATTTGTGATTGGAGCGTTGTGCGCTTTGATATCCTTTACTTATTTATATATGCTTGACTTTCCTTTTTTTCAAAATATATATATATATAAGGCCTTAATTGAATTCATTACATGTTAAAGTATTCTCATTTACATAAGTATTCTTCGATAGAATCATGTATCGTCGCATTAATTGCATATTCTTCCTACCTACTTTCTAATGGATTGTATCTGTCAGGTTTGTACATGTTATAGTCATTTTAAAAAATCTTTTTAAGATAAATTTAATAATTTCTCTCTATTTAAAACTTAGGAATCGTTTCTTTGTTGTTTTGTGGTATAACACTAAAACATTACGCATATGACAACATGTCAATACATACGCAGCGTACTACCAAAGATTTGTTTCATGTTCTCGCCCAATTATCTGAGAATTTTATATTTATTTATTTAGGTTTGACATTATTCACACAGACAAATTTGGACTATAGACCCTCCTTTATTTTCTTTACATCGGTATGTACCTGTGCTGCGGGTTGAGATAAACTGTGTTGTTACCTTGCTTTTATTTTTTTTGTTAAAATAATTCACTTTTCATTATTAGATTATTATTTGTATATCACGATACAGTGCAGTATTTCCACTTTCAAATTTAATCAATATTATGTCAAGGTATAGAAACAAGGGTGAATCTATTCCAAAAAAGTATTCAGTTATGTTGTTCTGGGCGGGACTGAGAGGAGCGGTAGCATTTGCATTGGCAGCTGGATTAGATGGTAAAAATGCAAATGCGATGAGAACAACAATTCTTGTAGTGGTTGTTTTGAGTGTTATTGTTTTTGGGGGCACAACTGGTCGAGTACTGGAAATAATGAAAATACAAACTGGTGTTCATGATGATGATGATGATGATGATGAGCATCATGAATATAATAACTATGACGGGGAAAGATTTCGTGATGATGACAGAGATCACAATAATGGACATAGTCGAACAAATTCTCAAGGATCTAATTCGGGAGATACTAATAATAGATATTCTGACGAATTGCAACAAACGAACTTTACACCTATGCAGAAACATTGGTTTATATCATTTGATGATAGATTTTTGAAACCATTTTTTACGCGAAATATAGATTTTAGATATAGATCACCACATAACAGATGGGATTATGGAGAGAGGAGACATGAAGGAAATAATGATGATTTTATAGGGTTAACGGGAGGGTCAGTGAGAACCGCCTCTTCGAGAACTCCTGTAAGAAATGGAGGGAGAAGTTTTAATAATAATAACAATTCAAGAATTGGACTCAAACAAGGAAATTATAATGAAAATTTGTCAGAAGATTCACCATTATCCACACAGCAACAGGACCTTGATACAACCAATCCAAAAACAGTCGGACTTCAAAGTTTTCCTGATTTGGGTAATTTGTTGTCAAATGGAAATCAAAATGAAGATAAAGATGTGAATGAACAAGTCTTAGTGGATCTTAATGAACTTTAAATTGGTAAACTAATTATAGAGGTTGAACATTGAGAAGAAAAACATATAATTTATACATTTGGCGAAATTTTATATTATTTTATTTGGTTGGATATTTGAAAACATGATAATATATTTAAAAGATAAATTATTTTAGAAATGGATTTATTTAAGAACTTTTGATATTAAATATCACAAAAAAATATTTTTTCAAACTAAAACTTTAGAATATATGTATTATTATAAAATAAATTTTTAGAATAATTATTTAATAAATAGTTTAACATCTAAAGTTTAAGTCTTATATACAATTTGTTTTTTAAGAATTACATGATAATATTTTTAAAGTATTATAAGAATATTAGCAAAGATCATTTTAAGAATTGATCTTAGGAATATTTAAGATTGATATTTAATCATCTAATATAAATTCAACAATTATAAAATAAAACAAAAGGAATTTACCAACTTTATTTTTTTACAAAATAATTTCTTTATTTTTACTTATTTTTCTAATATCCAATATTTATATAAATGACTCTTGCTATTTCTAATTTAGTTTTATTATAAAATAGATAAATAATCTTAAAAAATCATATTTATAAATTTCTATTATATTAAAGAATTTTTATAACTATTACATAAAGAATTAATTATAATTACAATTATATAATTATATTAATATCAAAAAGATTTAAAAAATAACTTAAACTATAGAGATTTAACTTTAATAATATAATTAATTATCTATTAAATGTTATAGAAAGCAATAATAAATTAATTAATAAGGACTTTTAAATACTATATTTAAGCATTCAATTCTAAAAATATAATTTTACTAACCTTTTTTTTTAAATCTATTTATATTCATAAATGTATAGTTTAAAATAATAAGTTTTTTTTTATTATTATAATTAATATAATATATTATAATTTACTAAAATTTATATTATTATAAATTAATCTTTAATATTATTATTATTAATTTTTTATTTTTAAATATAATTTATATAGTTTATAAAATCTTGTAATTATTTATTTTATTATAATTTTATTACCGTTTTCAAATTAGTGTGATCAAATGATTTATCGATCAATTAAAAAAAATATTATAAACATTGAAAACATTGAAAACAACAAAAAAAAAAATTAAAAAACATTAGAAAATATTTAAATAACACTTGAAAAAAATAAAAAAAAGTAATATTAAAACATAAAAATAAATGTTATATTAAAAATAACAAATTATATAATAAAATTAAACAATTTTTTCGTTCTTATTATTGAAAAAATAAAAAATCCTTCCAAAAAATGAATAATTTCTCTAATAATTTAAAATATCAAATATTTCTAAATATATTTATAATAAGAACATATTAGATTCATGAAAAAATTAACAATTATTGCATTTTTCTAAAAAAATCAAAAATTTCATGTTAGAATGAATTATTATAAAAATGAAAGACTTATTCAAAAAATCCCATTTCTTATTACTTAAAATATATTTTATAAAAAAAAAGTTAAGTATAAGCTAAAACAAGTTTTTAAAAGAAAACTTACTTAGGAATCATGATAGAAATCTCGCCAATAATTGTAGTAATCATTAGAAAATCGTTTTGAAATCGCTAAAAAATTAGGAATCATTTTATAAGCTAAAAGAAACTTCTACATATTAAACCTCACTAATACATAAGGCTCAAATACTCTATGTTATAAAGGTTAATAAAAGTTAAAAAGTTTTGAAAAAATAGTTACTTTAAAAAAGTTTTTTAAAGTATACTTTAATGTAATCTGAAAATCCTTTTTTTATTATAATTGATTGACAAATCACCTGATCATATCATTTTGAAATGGTGATAATACTAGATAACGAAAACTATTGTAAAATCTGAAGCATTAATTTATAATATTTAATTATCACAGAAAAATAACTCTTAAATTTTATTATTTAATTTAAAGATAACCACATTTGAAAATCAGATTATATGACAATATAACAATACATCTTATTGGTCAATCATATATGCGAACAGATAGATATTGATATTAAAATGAATCTAACTAAAGATGTCTAAAGCGTAATTGAGGACAAATAATATTTTTTATTTATATAGTATTTACAAATTTATTAAGTTTTTATAAAATTATAAAGTAGTGTTTCAGATGAAACTATTTTTCAACATCCAAAACATTTTGCTTAAAGAATTTTTCTATAATTTGAAATCTCCAAAACTCTAAATTTGAAAAGATTTTTGCAGATCAATTTGGCAAAACTAGTTTTATCCAAAATACTATTATAAAGCTTAAATTTAAATTTAATAAAAAAATATTTAAATAAATAATTTTAAGTATAAATTCTAAATAATTTAAAATGTTTATAATAAATATATCAAAAAATAATTATAAAATTATACTTTATAGATCTATTATTATAAATAATAAGGATATTTTATAATATTAAAAATATTATTTATTATTAAGAATATTTTTTAATTATATATTTATAAATTAATATAAAAAAAATATTATTAAGTATAGGTATAATTAATAATTAACATTTTAATTTAATTTATTTAAAGTTTTGATTATTTAATTAAACATGTGAATTTATAAATTTATCTTTTAAATTACACATGGTTAAGATGTAAACAAATATACGATCATCGGCAAACAAATTGTTCACATCAAAATCTTTTCTCCAAATTTTTACGAAAAAAAAAAAAAAAGAAAAATAATGTCGGCACAATTTTTTTCTAAATTAAGTCAAAATTATATTGAAATTTTGGAAGATAATGAGTATTATGATATTACAATTGAGGCGGGGGAAGATCCAAAGATGAAAATATTCCGTTCACACATGAATATTTTGTGTTACCGTTCTCCATTTTTGCGACGAACTTTGACTTCTGAAAAAATGAAAAGCGAAGGTACCCTTACTCATATTAAATTGCCAAACATCTCGCCGGAAATCTTTCAAATCCTTTTGAGGTAATTTGATTTTATTTTAATAATAAGAATGACATCATCATCTTACCAAGTACCCGTAACTATTAAATTGTTTATAATGTAGGTACATTTATGGAGGGGTTATTTCATTAAACGAAAAAAACATTTCAGACATTCTAAAAATATTGGCAGCAGCTGATCAGCTTCTCCTTCAAGAGCTAGTTGAATATTTACAAAATTATTTAATCGAGAATAAAACTGGATTAATCGAGCAACATTTTGAACTCACTTGTCAAATATCTTTTCAATCCAACTCTTTATCGGAACTTCAGCAATTATGTACAGACATTATAGCGAAATCACCCGATAAAATATTTAAATCACTTGATTTTGCCACGATCCCTGAAAAATCTTTAATTACACTTATTAAAAGGGATGATTTGCAAATGAAGGAAGTCGAAATTTGGGATCAAGTATTAAAATGGGCACTTGATAAAAATCCTACGCTCCTTCCAGATCCTTTCACTTGGACGGATAATGACTTCAAAATCATGAGAAATACTTTACAAAATATTTTACCCTTAATTCGGTTTTATAGTTTGTCTTCTGACGAATTCACACGAAAGGTTCGTCCATATAGAAAACTATTAAAGTCTCAACTCTATGAAAATCTATTAAGTTCGTACTTGGATTCTAATGCTGAGCCAGGTGATGATATCGTACTCCCTAGACAAAAGAACATTGATGGAATCATTGACACAAAGATCGTTAATTTAAATTTTGCTTCCGTAATTTCAAGATGGATTGATAAGATAGATACCAAAAGCAAATTTGCACACGCAAGGGAATTGTACTTACCATATGAATTTAAATTATTATTAAGAGCAAGCCGAGATGGGTTCACTCCTAAAAGGTTTCATGAATTATGTGATAATATACCTTATACCGTTACATTCATTAAGGTAAAAGGAACGGAAGAAATACTCGGAGGATATAATCCTTTAATATGGAAACATTCCTATGAATTGGCTCAAACAAAGTATAGTTTTATATTTTCTTTTAAGGGCAAGGATAATTTCGAAGGTTCAATTTTAAGCTATGTAAATAATACAGAAAACGCGTTATATTATGCTCCTCTCTGTGGTCCCTCGTTTGGTAACGATCTTCGTCTAGCGAATAATCTTTTGGCATTTGTGGAATATAATAATAATAGTTGTAAGCAAATTGATTATGAAAAAAAGATCAGAAGTTCAGAAGAAAATTTCTTTATAGAAGATTATGAAGTATTTCAAATTTTGAAAAATAAGAAACAATAATATGCTTGTCATGTAATAAACAATAAATAATATATGATGTAAGAATTATTACTCATTAAATGGTCTTTTAATTTAAATGAAAATTTGAGTGATATGCTATGCATGAATTTTAAAGTATTTTTATTCAGAGTTGCGCGCGTTTATATTCACAATCAAAAATCGAGTTACGAACGTAGCAAATCATATGATTCGAAACGTGATTTAATATGAACATTTGTATAAGATCAGGTTTGATTGGATAAAATGATCCGAATTGAGAGCTTTTTTTCATCATCGCATCGATTTGTTAATAATCAAATAATTTTTATAAACTATTAAAATCAATCTTTGAAATCAAGATACTATTGAGAGCTTTTCCATCCCATCTTATTACAATTCAGTTATATGATTGTTTTTGTAATACTTAACGAACAACGTTTGTTAATTGAAATTTAAATGCATTTTTTTTTTTTTTAAAAAAAAAAAAAAAAAAAAAAAAAAAATAGCATGATTAATTGAAGAAAATACTGCATAAATGGAAGGTTTGCTAGGAAAATGGGGCTCGGGGAATTTTTTAACAAAATTTTTGTTTTTTATTGCATTTTAGTTTTGATGTTATTAGATTAAAATGTAATAAGGTCTTAATTTTAGTCAAAAATTTCACAGAACCCCATTTTCCTAGCAAACTTCCCACATAGTAGAATGTAAGATTGATTCTTTACAATCTAAAGGTATCTATGTAGTAGAAATTTATCAAGTTAAACCTTATGAATTAAATTATTCTTTAACTTTTTTGTTGATTACTTACATTCGATACTAGGCGAAGTACAAATTTTGCATAGTGAAATTGCTGGCTCAGCAATTCATTATTCATGTTGCATTTTGAAAAAAAGTCTATAGGGAACGAAAATGCCACCGAGTATTGCATTTTTATATCAAACTCTCTCTTTCTTTCCAGTTTCCTTTCTCGCGGTATAACATCTCATCAAAAGGTAAGGCCTTCTCTTGATAAACAAGTGCACATTCAAATTTCTATATAATAAGGTTGTGGAGCTAATACCTTAGTTTTCGACGGGAACCGTCGAAGCTATTATAGTCGAAACTATATAAATCAATAAAAAACGTCAAAAGTCCAAATCGAAACCGTGAGTTTCCCGCAATTATTATGAGGGACGATAAAAGCAAGGATCAGGATGGCAAGGTGATGCACCTGATCCTGGTCCAAATCATATGATCATATGGGAACGTTGCCAGTAAAATCAAGTCATGAGATATATTAAATCATATGCAACGTTTCCATATGTTAAAACATTTTGTCTTTTCGACCTCAAAAAGGAAAGTTAAACTTTGCAATAGAAAGAATAGAAAGGGAGGAAACTGCAAATCAATTTATACCTATATATGGCAAATGTGATTTTCAAGCCGAAATATGTTCAGATGTAGCATTTTCTCATTGTTTTATTTTTCCAGCAGTTTCCCCCTTTCAAGGTTCCATAAGTAATCATTCATGAAGGAAACAATATATTTGAACTTATTGGAATTCCTGAAATTGCTGGTATGATAATTACTTGACATCAGATTATCGTACGCATGAATCACAAAAGAGAGGCTCTTTACTTTATTAACAGATTCTGATAATACAATTTTTTTTATATTTAAAATGTGGATATAATAATATAATATTTTTTACATTTAAGTTACGACTTTGGTTGATCACAGAATAGGGTTGTCCAATCAAACTTAAGATGACGAATTTGGTGTTGGTGATTTATGTATAAATACTGCAATAAAACATTTCAATCAATTTTCTCGCGATTACTCAGAATATTTTTTACTTTTTTCAAAATGGAAGAACTTCAACAACTTTTCGAAGCGACACTCAACCCCATGGATCCTTCAGTTGCGGACACCGCGGAAGCGGTTTATATTTCTTCTTTATCTTTGCTTAAGGTACGCAATATAAAAAATTCAGAAATTATTATAAAAACCTGAACGCTATTAATTGTTCCCTTCTTTTTTTTTTTTTATTAATTTGTCTATTTGAAGATGTTAAAACATGGTTAGTTGATTATTTAGTTTGTCGTGATCGATTCAACGCGAAATTCATTCATATGATTTCTTTATAGGACGCAGCGGTGTACCCATGGAAGTTATGGGATTGATGCTTGGTGAATTTGTGGATGAATATACCGTAAGCGTAATCGACGTGTTTGCTATGCCACAAAGTGGTACAGGCGTATCCGTAGAAGCGATCGATCACGTTTACCAAACAAGAATGTTGGACTTGCTGAAGCAAACTGGACGGTACGAATTATTTTTTAATTAAATTTAATCCCTGAGATTCATATATCTGATTTCAGTTAATGAAATTATTAGATCCGAAATGGTAGTTGGGTGGTATCACTCTCACCCTGGATTTGGATGTTGGTTGTCTGGTGTAGATATAGAAACACAAAGGAGTTTTCAGTCATTGAATAAGAGGGCTGTGGCTATAGTGATTGATCCTATACAGTCTGTCAAGGGCAAAGTAGTTATTGATGCTTTCCGTCTTATAGATCAACGCTTTTATTTGAATGGTCAAGAGCCACTTCAAAGCACATCCAATGTCGGACAACTTAAAAAACCAAGTATTCAAGTACGATCATGATTTTTCAAATATATATTTATATCCACTTTTTTATTTTTAGGTTTATACTTGTTAACTTTCAACTTTTTCTTAGACTTTGGTCAATGGGTTGAATAAATATTATTATTCAATCATAATTAATTATCGAAAGAATGAATTGGAACAGGCAATGTTGCTCAATCTGCACAAAAAAAATTGGACAAATGTATTGACACTGCCAGATTTTACGGAACACACCAAAATCAATGAAGAGAGTGTCAATGTAAAGATCTACCAACTTTCTCGTTATCTCACCAAAAATTTTTTTTTTTTTGATCTTATGAAAACTTCAATTTTTTTTTTTCTTTTTAGTCGATGGTTACATTGGCAGGATCATATAATAAATCGGTGCAAGAGGAATCAACCATGATGCCTGAACAATTGAAATTACGACATATTGGAAAACAGGATCCAAAACGTCATTTGGAGGAAAGTGTGAATGTGGCCATGTCCGATAATATTGTAATGACACTAGGAACCATGATTAATTCAACCAGTTTCGTAACCATAAACCAAGATGATAACCCTCAGGAATAACCGTTATTCAACTTATATTATCGAAACGAAAACTTTTTTGCATTTGAAATATTCTACGCAATTTTACTTTAATTTTCTAACATTCAATTAATAAAATGGGATTTATGGACTTGCTAAAAAAAGTAGCTTTTTATGAATCATGTTTAAATTTTGTTCGAATTTAAAAAATGACCGAACGGTTAGAAGCCTTGAATTAGAATACCAGTCTCATTTGGAATTTAAATCATTGTTATTAAATAATTTTGATATTTATGATTTATTTAAGAATTTAAGTGATTCTCTTTTTTTTATTATTATTGAATAAAGGTTAACAAATTCTTATTAAGTGTTTAATCTTTGTGACAAATTGGGTAGAAACGTAACATAACAAATTAGTCCAAGTGTTAACAAAAATTGCGGACACGTGATTTATGTGGTTAAGGTGGCGCGATAATGAACTTTTGTTCCGGAATGCGAATGGAAATTCTCGTATCAGCAGAGATGCAATCAATCGGCGTCTAATTTATATATATGGCAATAATTCAACGAAAAGTTATTTAACATGTGAAAATTACAAAGAAATGAATTGTAATTTACCTCGCAAAGGTTTTTTTCTTTGTTCTTCTAGGGGATATCTAATGTATTGATTTACATTGCATGATAATTAAACTTTAACGAAGGCTAAAGTTTAATTACCATATGTGGCTGTGTAATATGTTTCTCCTAAAAAAAAAGAAGAATTTGTTTAAAAATTCACGTTGTTGTCGAAGAAACGAACCACCTAAAACTTTTTGAATTTACTGCATGGATTGATTGGACAAATGATGTTCCAAGTTTTTAGCCACAGTAAGTGACGATTTATTTATTTTGTTTTTTTTAAAGAAAATTTCGTGACGCGATTCGAGTTTGGTGACTTCGCCTATAACATCAACAATTTTTTATTACCAAAATAATCGTTTGTATCACAATCGAACTTTTGATCCCAAAACAACAACAATAACTTTTTTTTTCCCCTGGAGAATAAAAAAAAAAAATTCACTTCTCCTTTTTATTCATTTCATTTTGAGCGAACATATTTTTTTTTTCTAAAGTAAAATGTCTCAAATAATTACCAAAATTCCTATTGACATATTATATGATATTATTGAACAAGTGGATGATGGGGCGTCCTTATTCTCGTGTTTGTTAGTTAATCGAAGTTGGTGTAAAATCACTGTTCGACTTTGGTGGAAAACTATCCAAAACTTTAATACCTTGGTCGCTTGTTTACCTAGCGAATCAATAGCGACCTTACGTAGTAACTTAGTTTTGGTCTCAACTCCAACTCCTAGACCCTTGTTATTTAATTACGCGACTTTTGTAAAATTTCTTTCGTTTACTGACATCAAAGATAAAGTTAGAGGGTTCCTTTTAAACCAAAACGTTACCGCCTCATGTGCACGTAAATTATTAACGCTCGAAGTATTGGTTATGTTGTTGGGTCAAAGTACTTTAAAAAAATTGAACGCGAACACCAAATGCATTCCTAGTATCGAATTCACCACTTATCCTAGAGATTGTTTGAGAGACCTTACGGAAATTAGCTGTCGCTCAGATATTTGCTCAGATTTCCTGGATCAGGTGTCCCAATTATGTCAAACCATACGATCAATGGACGTCAAGCTTGAATTAAAAGTATCGGATGGAATTAAAAAGCTGATATCGGTTCAGAAAAATTTGAAGTTCTTTAGAATAGTCTTCTTACATCGTGAAAGTTTGGAAGAATTAATCCCCTCATTGACAAAGCATTCATCCACTTTAATCAAATTGGAAATCGACACCTTTCAAATCACAAAGTCATTATTGTTCCTCGCCGATTTCTTAAATTTGCAAGAGCTCGTCCTACAATACTATTGCGATTATTTAGAAGATTTCAAAACGTTACAACATGTTACCTTTCCAAAGTTGAAAAGTTTGAAATTCAAAAGAGGTGTACCAAAATATGAATATTTGATAAATTTCTTGGAGTTGAATGGCAAACGGCTGGAAACGCTCGATATCGATTGTTATGGTCATAATTCGTTAAATTTGGCTATAGCAAATTTTTGCCAAAATCTGAGGTCGTTAAGTACCATCTTTATGAAAGAAGAAGGGATAACTCTTAAATCAATTTTAGTTAATTGTCAAAATTTGCAAAGCGTTCACCTTAGGTCCAATGATCGTTATTTGGACGTGAGTGAGATTTTTGAGATCGTCGTAAAGCATTCCTCCAAAACTTTCACCGAGTTGAAATTGGATTTTGGAATAATTTCGGAATTATCTCCAAAGGAATTAGATATCTTTTTTTCCAATTGGTTGAATCGCGTACCGCGAAATCCCATCTCTTTTATCATCGTGATTCGTTATTTTGGTGACATTACAAAAGAAAATATGAAAGTAATTTCTAAATATATGAAATTAAAAGTGATTAAAAAATTTGAAATCATAAACGATGATGACGACGACGATTATGACGACGAGGAAGAGGATGACGATGACGACGACGACGACGACGATGAAGTCGAAGACGATTATTTTAGTTATGAAGATTATGACATCTACTTTCATGGGGGAAGTGAAAGTGATGATTATTTTATGGACGAAGGTGATGATGTAGAGGATAATGACATTGTTGATGGTGACGGTGACGGTGATGATGAGAATGTTGCCGATGGTAGCGGCGATGACAGTGAAGATGAACATTTGTATGTTACGTTTTATAGAAGAACCACTAGATTATAGATGAATTAACGTTTGGAAAGATATTCTCACTTTGAAACATAGCGTCACAAAAAAGATTTTTTTTTTTGTCTCATTCTTTTTGAATAAAATATATCTTAGATCAATATTATGAAAATTAATTTTTTTTTTTTTACACAATGTTCGGTGCTCAATTTAAGAGTAAACAATTTCTCATTTACTAAATTGCAAAACGAAGATTTGAAATTATTCCACAAAAATGAGGTACCTTTAAATGCTGCTATTCAACTATTGATCACTCAATTTTAGGTGCATCGAGATATTTATATATACTTTCCTAGGAAACGCATGAAACGCATATATAAAGGGAATCACGCGCTATTTACACCCGTCCAACATCCGATTGAATGAAATCTAGCTGACCCCATAAACAAATTATTGACCACACAATTTTAGGGCTTCGAGATATTTTTAGTAGGCAAATTATCTCTTCCATTAATGTAAGCCATCATCAGCTGCTGATCACAAATCATCCATGGCTTGGATCGTCGTTAAGATACATTAGATCACATGATGCCTTTGAAGTTTCGTTAATGTTGATTAGTTATCCTATCAATAACGTTTGAACTATCTATATAAATTAATCATTACCCTTCTAATTATGCACAATAAGGAGCATTCGTTTTTCTTTTGAGAAATCGTGGCTGTCGATTTGGCGAGTATTAAATTTAATGATCCAATTTCGTATGATTTCTTACATTCGAGAGTGATATTCTCAGTTAAGTAACACATAAGTTATAATGTCATTATACATTATTGATTGGATCAATCAATATTGTTTATAATCTGATATCTCGCTAAGCTAATTACTATATCGCGTGCCGTGCTTATAAGCACAATAATCTATTATGAACACCCGAGGAGTTACATCTTAATATAGTATAATCAGAAGTTTACTATTGATTTTTCGATGGTTCTATTAATAAATTAGTTAATTTACGACCCAGCAATTGCGTGCAGGATCCTTTAACACCAATCATTTCTAAGATATCTAGAATTGGAGGTCCTTGTCTAGATTGGATAAGTTTTACATCTAACAGCACCGTATATATATTCTTGTTTACGCAACGCGAAGGAACGCATGTATAGAGTGAATCACGTGATAATTAACCCGTCCTCTTTCCAATTACAAAAGAATTAGCGCTACTATCCAAACCATCAACCGATTGAATGAAATCTGACCCATCGCCAGATAGTTGACCACTCAATTTAGGGCATCGAGATATTTTTAGATAGTTTCTTAGACAATTTACTATATCTCTAGAGTGTCGTTCCATTAATGTCAAGCTGTCACACACTTACGCCATTGCTTGCATCGCAATTGACTTTGTTTAATCAACTGATACCTGTTAATGTTGATTAGTTATTCTATAGTCAATAAACTACCAATTATGTTGCAGATTTGGAGTCAACTCAGTCAGTTTTTAGTCGACTCAGCCGTCGAATGAATCGCGACTCATTTGAAATTTTCGACCATAATTTTATTATTAGCAACAATATTTAAAAAAATTTACTAAAGTATATTATAAATAAATAATCTTTTATTTTGCATCACTTCTTATAAATTTCGACTATAATTAAAGTTTTTAGAATCCATTCTACTAAAAATTTGAAACTTTTTGAATTGAAAATTTCGCGAAATTTGAATCAGTTACGGCTCAGTCACGGTGAAAATACCGGCGTCGACTTTAAAATTCGACTTAACCGTCGACCGGCTGGTATTTTAAAGTCTTAGTCTAGTACATATAATCTTAAGAAATTTACCATTCCCTGCAATCATTGCCGCCAGTTTCGTTAACACTGATCATTTCTAAGATACCAAATCTAAACAAGGAATTTACAATTCTAGATAAATTATACACTTTAATTCACGAACTCAACTAAAACTTATTTAACATTTAAAATATTACGTACATAAACAGCACTGCGCGTTTGATGATGAAAATATCATTTACATTCTGGATGATTATCGAACAAAATTAATGAAACAAAAACTCATTTTAATACAGTGTTGGCATTTGGCCATTTGGTAAGAGATTGGCAGTTGGTCGTTTGGCCCATGACCAAATGGCAAAATGCCAACACTTGGTAAAAGTACTTGTAGATGGAGTGACTGAATTTTTTGAGTACGCGTGGAGAAACCTTACAAAGTGCACGTGAAGGAATTGATGTCAATGCGTATATAAATTATGATATCACGCGTTTAAAAAAAAAATTATCTGAGTTAGTTATTACTCATTCACGACTTTATTTTATTGAAAGGAAAGTAAACGAAACCGTTATATATTTGCGTCTACGAATTTGTTTTTCTCAAGGCAATATAAATTAGGTGCATCTCTTGGTTTAAATTGTCATCAGGCAATTGCAGACGAAAAAGTTTTTATTTAGCATAATAAATTGATGGATTTCAATAATGTAATTTTTTGGTTAAACATAACATCACAAAGAAAGTTGATGCACAATTTCATTTTCATTTTTTTTTTTTTTTTTTAAAAAACACTTCTGATTAATAAAATCATTAATCCGTCAAGACATAGAAGTGCGTGTAAGCTCCGCATAAGCCAATCCAGTTTGTGAGACAAAACAAACCGGTTCGTTTAGGATCGGTTCGAGTCACTTTACACTATAAAACAGCTCGTGAGACAATATGCCGTGACTTTGTTGGCTTGAATTTTCTGTCTTTGAAGAAAATGCATCCGGAGCGCTTCCTTTTGAGAAAAAACGCATCCGAGACGTTTCCTTTGAGGATCATCTCATCGATGGCTTTTCCTTTAGGGAAATCGTTCCGGAGACGTTTCTCTCGAATCACTCGGTGCGTTTCTAATTCTTCCGCAATATATTTTTTTTTAAAATTTTATTATTTAATGTGAGCAACAAGATCCGGCTTGGATTTCATTTTGATGGACTCGATGCGGAATTTTAGTCGCGTCATCAAACATAAAAATTTAATTGTATAAAATTTCGAATGAGTTTGAAAATAATCGAAGCAATAAGCTTTGAATAATTTCAGATTTATTATTGGTTTTATATAAAATACAATTAATTTTATTAATAGTAAAAATAGTATAACTTATATTTAAATTAAATGTAGCTACATAAGATTAATAGATAAATAATTAGATAAAGATTTTATGAAATTCTAAATAAAGTTAACTTCTATCCTTGAATTTAAAGACTTGCTTAAAGTAGTTTGTTCAAGCTATATCAATTGCATCTCCACCTGAGCAAGATTTTGTTGAGCCATTTGAACCCCTTGTTCAGCAGACTTTTTATACCAATAAATTGTTTTCCTTATATCTTTAACAACCCCTTCTCCATGCTGATACATAAGAGCAAGATTATATTGAGCTATCTTGTTTCCCAAATTCGCCGCTTTCTTATATAATTCAAACGCCGTATGCTTATCAATAACCGTTCCGATCCCATTATTGTAACAACATCCCAAGTTCAATATTCCGCTCAAGTATCCTCCTTCGGCTGATCTTCTAAATAACTCAAAAGCTTTATTATGATCCGTGCTTACACCGTTCCCGTATAAATAACAAACCCCAAGGTTATGCATTGCGACGATATTTCCATTATTTGCAGCCTTTTCATAAAAATAAGTTGCCATATTTAAATCCTGTTTAACGCCTATTCCATTGTAATATAAATATCCAACACTTAATTGTCCTACGGCAAAATCTTCATTGGCCATCTCTTCATAATATTTAAAAGCCAAATTTTCGTTCTTTTTAACACCATTTCCAAATTCATAACACATTCCAACATAAAGCTTTGCCAACGTATGTTTTCGTTCCGAAGCGTTCATAAACAAATTAAATGCCCTTTCCTTGCTTTCGCTTACTCCAATTCCAAAATAATAAAGATATCCAAGCAAAAAAATGGAATTTGAACCATCCTGATTAACTAATAACCAATTAACGATTTCTTGTAAAGCAATCTTATTATTATTAAAATATCCATGAATGAGCTGATTAATTGTTTCCGGCTCCATTCCTTTATTTAATTCTTTACAAATAAGATCAACGATCTCATTAATCATACTCCAATTTTTTACAGGTAAAGGTTCTTTACCTATCATATAATTATTTTGAGATGAATCTCCTTGTAATAAATAATTAATACTTAAAGAAGTATTAACATTAATTTGTCGTTCATTTGGTAATGGAAGATTTAATTTATAATTATCTAGTTGAGTATTTTCTATCATTACGTTTGCGCCTGCATACATTGCTTTTAATTCAGCAACTACTCTATTCATGTCTGGACGATTGTCCGGTTCTTCATTCCAACATTCTAATATATATATATATATATATATATAATTATTATTCAGTAAAAATTTTAAATTCCAAGATTAATACAGAATAAGATACGTACCCATATAAAGTTTAGCATAATCGGCAGGTGTATTTGAAACGAACTTTTCCCTCAAACCTTGTGAAATCTCATAAATCAAACCAACATCATGTTGCTCGCCTTTAATATAAAACGGAGGACGACCGCTTGAAATCTCCCACAAGAGTATTCCAACACTGTAAACGTCACTCATTTTATTTAATCTATACGGTTGTATTGGATTATCAGTATTCCTTCGTCTACTAAACATTTTCGGGTCAATATAAGGTATTATGCCAAAAAGATTGGAGTGTTTTGAAGATGCTTCCTCAATCCTTTTTGATAATCCGAAATCGGCCAATTTAATATTATCTTGATGAATCAATATGTTTTTGGAATGCTATTATGTAATATTATTATACGCGGAGATGTTTAATAAAAAAAAAATTGATATTGACAACAACATTTTAAATTCATAGTCATATAAATCATAAAATCATGCATTACCAGGTCTCGATGTACAATTCCTTCATCATGTAAACATGATACAGCACAAGCCAACTGGCAAGCCAAATTGTATTTATCCTTCCAAGTAAGTTCATAAAATCGTTTCTTCAAATAATCCCGAAGCGTGCCGCTATCGGCATACTCCATCACAAACAAATATTTTTTGAATTGCTCATGTTGATGTTGAAAATCTGCAGAATGAAATCATTAATTAACGCTTAAGTAAGTACATGTCTTTAGTACCAACTCATCGCCAACTGTACCTTGATTTAATGTCGTAACTCCATAAATACGAATAATATTTTTATTGAAATCAACTTCACGCTGATGGTTGAACTAAAAAATTAACAAAGATAGACGTTAGATAAATATAGAAATGAATAGATTGAATTACGCTTCATGCGTATGATTTACCTCACGAACGAGTTCCTTGACGGTGACATTATCAAGATTAAAAAATTGTTTTAAAACGAAATATTGTTCTGAATTTTTCCAATTCGCACGATAAACTATGCCGAATGCTCCCGAACCAATTTTTTGAAAATTACTAAAATGATCGTACTCGTAATATTTAATATGTTTCTTTGAAATCGCCTCTTCGATCCAATTAATCCATTCTCTTGAATTATCGAAATTTTGCATCTTAATTTTAATAACGCAAAAAAAAAAAGAAAAGAAATTCTCCCCCTCAACACTTTTTCTCTAAGGATTTTTTTTTGATTTGAGTAAATAATTTTTTATTTCCCGGCTCAGGTAAATAATTTATGAAAGCATTTGAAAAGTTAGAAGTTTGTTAGGAAAATTATGTGAATTTGAAAAAAAAACTTTCTTATGAGCGAGCAACGTTACATATTTCAGGCTTATTTTCGTGACACTTGAACACAAAACGGAAGCTAACCTTTATGAAACTTCTTGCCCCTTTATAGAAATTTTTACATACATTCTTAATTTAAACTGTTACATTTTCATTTTACTGCGCAAATTTTAATAAAAAATTAAATCAGATCTCTATCACCCAAAAGTAACTATCACGTGATTGTTCAATTGAGGTCGATTTCCCCAGCGTAACCACCAAAAATCACCGGCACGTGATCAATTTTCGCCGATCATTTCCAAAAATAGACGATCAATTTTATCGAAAAAAAAAAATTAATTTTATTTTTTAAATAAAACTTAGAAAACCCACTATATGAATTCCTAAA